TCCTTTAACCGACACTCCTCAGTCCACATATTTCCTTTAAGATATTCTCTCTTCAACTCCTGGCTAGATACCTTTAAACTAACCATTTTAAATACATTTGCATACTTTTACACTCCACTTAAATGCATGAATCATACACTGCCACTTTGCCTTAACCTCATTAATATTCATGTGACTTATTTCCATTCACAGACCGTTTTAACTTGAGTCATACAACTATGCATATTCATTAGTTCATGATTCAGTTAGCAGTGCTGCAAAGTAGAATGAAATATCCTAAATATTGTGAAATCTGTATCATGGAGTGTATTTAATCAACATTAAATCACCTAAACTACTATATAAACCAAGCTTGTTTTAATTTATTTTGTTTTTTGAAATTCATGTATAATGTACTGTATATACTGTACTATCTCAAAAAGAAGCCCATGCTATATTGAAAGGAAGCCCATGGGCTTCTTTTCGAATCTAATTTTACAAACTAAAGAGGGGGCTTCAATTCGAGATTGGCTTCATCTCGAGATTAAGCCCATTGTGCTTCAATTCAAAGTTTTATGGTATATTGTTGTGTGAAGAACCAATCAATCAAATCAAATTACTACGCTCTTTTAAATAGGATCGTCTGCTCAGACATGAGCACAGATCATGGGTTCAGGGGACATTCCCCCCTCGCATATTTTAAGGGGTGGTTGGTCCCCACTTTTCGACCACAATGTAATTTCATACATCAAAAAGATGCCTGAAACTGCATAAATGACCCAGGTTTTAACAAAATAGCGCTGTACAGCCAGAGTACATGATGATGAATTTTATTATGTAAGTCATTTCCGGCCATATAGAGGTACTATTTCCTTAAATTTTCACACCTCAGAATCAACCATGATGGGGCTCAGGTGGGTGTGGACTCACAACTATCTTCCCCCCACCCCACCTTTCAAAACAGATCTGCAACCATGTGTGCACAGTCTCTACACTGACAATGGCATTCGACCTCCTGAAACATGTCTGTTTCATAGAGCCTAGCAAGGTCTAGGGCAGTGGTGGCGCCAATGGGGGGGGCATGCCGCCACTGCTAGTCTAGGGCAAATTTTAACTCAGTCTTATGCCTGGCATAAGCATCTTATATACAGTAGTGTTGTGATTACTTTAAAGTTTAAATTGTTATAATTATTCATGTCATTTCGTATTTCAGGCAAAAGTAAAGCAGTAATAGCAGCTGTGGTTGGAAGTTTGGTTGGTTTACTGGCAATTGTTTTCGTTGCTTGGTTGGTTTGTAGAAAACCAGGTGAGTCTTGCTAGAAACAAGTGTACAATGGTGCATACACACTCCCCAAATCAGAATGCACATACGACCCTGACTCCATGGGTGTATGATAGGGGTGCAGATGCACCACCTCCAACCCCCCACCCCACCCCCATAGAAGAAATTACTTCCACTAAGTGGGTTAAAGTACTAAATATGACCACTAAGTATTCATTGCAATAGGGAGGGATTTAGGTTCGCATTCTGGGATTTAGATCAGCATTCTCATTTTTTGCACCCCAAGGCCCAAACCCCTGGACTCCATGTAATATTTTTCATTGATCATTGTCATTTGATAACTTAAGGAGTAAAGACAATATTAACTTAGTAAATGAAAAAAGAAACCCAGAAGTTTTAAATATATACTGTTGCACTGCTAAAAGACTGCATTCTATTTAGCTAATCAGGATCTTTTTAATTAAATATACTTTGTTGTTAATAGGGAGTTTTCCCAAGCTTGTGAAAACGATAACGAATAGTTACGTCATAAGTTTCTATGGCAACCATTCCCCTACGGAAGCATATCTATCACAATGCAGGCGATTCATGCCTTTTACATGAATCAAGGATCATATTCAGCTCATACAGCATATTGTTTGTTTTAGCACGAATGCAGATAACGTATTTTGTTATCACTTCCGTATGGTTGTGAATTCTCCCTAATAACACCTCTGCCTTAGAGGTTTCACCACTGTTTGTCTTCCTGTTTGTTTATCAGCTTGAATAGGACAGTATGCAAGGTTAAATGTAATAAAATGTGTCTATTTTACAATACTGTTAATTTAATTATTGTTGCTATGCAATTATTATACAGTAGATCCCCAACAAAATGGGACCCCTTCAAAACCAAAAGAAGTATACTCTTAATGGTGGTGTCTTCTGAGCAGGGGTTGGTTATTTTGTTAAAGTTTACAATTTCCTCCATTTGCAGCTTAAAATCTCTCTCCTTAATAAATAGGGGTGTCCAAAAAAAATATTTTTATGAAATAATTATTTCTATAATCACATTGAATATGTTATCATTTCAGATGGTTCGGAAAAAAATAATTCTTTCATAGGTAATATATATATTTTTGCACTCATACAGTATATCAATTTTCTTTGTATTTCTTCAGATTTATATTTTAGCTATTGTTTATGCAGATAAAGTCAACTGAGGGCCAGCATTAGTGAATTGAGATCTATAGATGTCAATTCATTTATATTCGCCTACAAATATGGAAAATGTATATTTTACAGCAAGGAAGCATAGAAAGACTGAATACATGCTAAAAGCTATGCAAAGATCGTCTGTCTCTCAGATAATTTTTCTCATACAAATAATAGATTAATCTAATAATAGATTATTTTAATCTATTAGGTAATATACGCCATTGCTTCAAAATAGCAATACCATAAAACAAAAATCTAGTTTGCACTGTGTACACGTGGGTCTGATTTTCTAAATACAAAGAATTAATGTTCTTTCTGGTATTGCTATTATTAATTATTGTTATTATCTATGGATCATGATGATATTATGTTTATATGAAATAATATTTATGTAATAATTATTTTTTATATTTCTTTAATTGCAGGTACAGGTAATACAGTTGTTGACCAAGGTAAACTATGTTTATATTCACTTCTACTGTAACAATGAATAAATATTTTTTTTTTTAAATAATAATGTCATCTTATTAGGCGCACGTATCCAACTCATGGTAGAATCTTATCTAGTCTGGGTCTCAAAAAGATTACCTCACATCTATATTCATTCATTTTATATGTGTGTATATATT